CTTTTCTGCTGCAGGTATCTTCAAGATGATCTTGAAGTATGTTTGGGAGAAGGAGCTGCAGAATTTACATCACAAGATTTATCATTTATCATGAGGTGCTCAAGAATCAAGTAAGTAACCCAGATTTTGAAATTGTTTTAAATATTGTGATAGCTTCTTTGCTTTTTCTTTTTTTGTTGTTGTTGTTGATTGGGGGATGTTATTTTTGTTGACCTGACTGTTTTGGAACTCAGGGTGGGTGGTCTTTGCAATTTCAACTCCTTTATTCATTTGTTCATTTGACTCTTATGTGATCAGCTAAATCTGAGTTTTGAGACTATAAATATAGATACTGTGTTACTAGTTAAAAAAAATGAGACTAGGCAACTCTAAGCATTTGGCCAGCAATTGTCAGGTGTTTTAAATAGCTCCAGAGTGTGGAGGGTTTTGTTCATGAAGAACAATGTGCTGTTCTTCATAGAATGGTACAAAAAGGAGATTGCCTTTATGAATGCAATGCCTGATGTGCCAGCACATGTCACAGCAGCATGATTTCCAGGTTTTAGAACATAAATAATGCTTAATATATATTGCATAGCCCTTTATAGTGAACTTGTAGTAATTGCCTCTTTTGGCAATCTACCTGGGTAGATTTTCCTCAAGTTTGGTGGAGGCTCTTGAGGATTATCACTGCTCAGAACCAAAAAAAGCAGATACCTGGGCAGCCACGTAACTTTTCTGCCACGCGTAACTGGTCAGGAATCATTCATTTGAACTGCTGGTACTTGTCAGCCCTAAGTATCATTTCATCATGTGTGAAATATCTGCTGTAGGATAAATAGGGGCATGCAAGTCAGACATCTTCAATTGTAGCACTACATTTAGGTTTTGTTTTATAATGTTGCCAAAACTGTTCTCCCATTTTGTAATGTTGCCATTTCTTTTGGTCTTCCACTATAAAAAACAGCTAAGAATTTGAGCAACCTTGTTAATATAGTTAACATTTGATGCTCAGCACTACCTGTTGCCCATAGAGAGGGGAGACAAAGGAAAGGAGCGAGAGAGGAGTCTGGGCAGAAACAGATCATTTCTAAGCCTCAAAGGAAAAAAGAAACTCCTTCAAACTAACCTAAAACCAGTAGCTAAGTTTTACTAGTTGATGAACTGAGAGGTGTAAGCATTTTTCTGCAGGCCACTGAATGACTCTAATATTCGAACAGGAGTTCCTGACGAACAATTCTGTTTTTATATTAACTTGTTTCCTTCTTCACCCTTCCTTTTATTTAAGACAAAATAAATTAGGAATAAGAACTTGTACATTTGTAAAAATGGGCATTTTCCATCCCTAAGACATCAATATCAGGTTAAGCATCTTAATCAGAAGAAAGTAGAAATTGATGCAGCAACACAGATGCATCTCTAGACAAAAATGCAGTGGTTCTTCTCCTCTACTGTTATGGTCTGTCTCGGTGCAGAATGTCCCTTTTAATCTGATACTTCCCTGACAGGAAAGGCTGTTCTAGCACACCTTGTAAGCGCATATGCTCCTTAGCGGGATAAAGCAGCACTTGATAGAGCTTTGCTGTGGGTTAGCCTCCAACATCAGCATTGCATCAGCAACACTTCGTAAATGCTTGTGCTAACAACTCTAACCTTTGATACCCTGCGTATTCACAGCAGCCCCTATTTTCTAGGCTAAGCTGTTGTAGAGGTCTCCATCTGGTGGCTGTAATGTAAAACGTGCAGCCTTTTCCACTGTAAGCACTGCTGATATCCCTTAATTAAATAACTGCTGTCATCAGACATCATGCTGTACATCTTATAGCTCACGTGGCTAAATAGCCTTTTGTGAACACGAAGAGACATACAGCATATGGCTGATGGCTCTAAAGTGCCCATCTTCTGGCTCTTCAGAGACTTGGTCACAGGATTCATGCGAGTGACACGCGTGCAGCGTGAGCAGGATGAGCTAGAGCCCTGCACCGCCGCAGGCACCAAGCGCAGGGCTGCGGAGCTGCGCCCGCGCGGCACGGGCACCTGCGGCACCGCTGCCGACGGCCCTGGAACACTCAAAATGTCACTAGACCTCACAGCCTTCATGGAGGCTGACATGCAGCAAGAACAGAAGCTATAGTGACAGATCATCAGAAAAGGTTTCTTTAAGCATATTTGGGTGGCAATAAAAGACATACACGGTAGCTATAGTGACAGTTTAGAGTTGATCATCAGAAAAGGTTTCTTTAAGTGTATTTGGGTGGCAATAAAAGACATACACAAGTTACCTACAGTGCTATTTATACAAGCACTTTCCCATGCAGATTCTGAGTGAAAATTTATGCACAAAAGGAGAGCCAAACTATACACTGCCAAAGCACCCAGTGTGCAGTGAAATGCTCTATACTTTCAGACCTCAACAATACATAGTGATACAAGATGCAACCATTAAATCAAAAGTTAGTATATGCTGTCAGTGAACTAGTCTATCTGCCATCATGTCCTGAAAGCAAAACTCCGTTGCCTGGCAATTCTGAAAGCTGTTTAACTGCTTAAGTGTAGTTAAAAATAGTGCAGAATAGACAATTAACATGTTAAAGGCAAAGTGTTTTATAATAAACAACATATTACATAATTAGCAAAACAGAAAATAATGTTCAAGATACGAAAGGTTTCACCTTTGACTGCATGATTTGTGAACTCCTGCAACCAAATAAGTAGGTGGAAAAACAAAACAAAAAAATCACATTACCTTACTTACTAACTTCTTAGGATTGATTATATGTAATTAGTGGATATATGTACTGCTGCCTGTAGAATCTATTGACACTCATCTTTTTCAAAAAGGCTAAAATGCTAAGTCTACCTTGCAACTGGCTTCCATATATGGCCCTCAAAGTTATATTTAACAAATGATACATACCTTCAATCTTGCTTCATTACTTTTAAGGATAGCTTGATGTTTTCACACTATCTTGGTAGAAAATCCAGACCTGCATGCGCTTCCAGCGGTCAGATAAGAAATCCTCACATGCAATGCAGACTCCAAAACATTTTTGTGATTGTAATCGGCTTATAAACTCTTCCACTTCATTTTTGTATTTAAAAAGTCTGTAGATTTTCATATTAACAAAACCCAACTACAAGCCAGGCAGATTCTCATTCAGAAACTTAAAGTGAATTGTAGCAATTGTCTTTTTGTTAAGACAAGTAAAATCGTGACCAGGCCTAACAACTTAGGTGGCTCTACAGTACTTTTGAAAATCTAGACTTGAAATACAGTGTGCTGCTACAAAAGCAATTTAAACCAAAGCATGCTCCTGCTACAGTCATGTTACAATTGCTACAAAGTTTGCTAGTGCTCACTTTTAAAATGATTTCTGTTGATATTACGTAGCCTCAGATAGCAGTAGCATTACCTATGCAAATCAAGAAATCATGCCACCGGCAAACAAGGATGCAGCATGCTGCAAAAATAGCATGAGGGGTCTTGGCGCTTATTATCATAATTTTGTCTTGTAACTACTTTGTCTGTAGTCAGGTATACAAGTGACATCTTAAACTGACGCCCAAATCTGTCCCGTGGACTCCTGTGCCCCCCTCCCTGCCCAGGTAGCTGTCAGACACCGTCCTCCCCTGCAGCGCCGGCACAGGGTGAGCGGGACGGGGCTGCCACGCAGGAGGCCAGAGGAGAGCGGGAGGGAACAGAGCAGCTGCATTCCCAGGAGAACAGAGCAGTGTCAGTAACCAGGAACAGGGATCAAGAACGGTCTGAAGATGGGGTTCTGTGGAGAAGGGACCTCCAAAGCTTCAAAACGATACATGGTTTTGTACTGCTCTATTTCTTTCCATACAATTTTCAGTTCCAAGATGAAGTGAACAGACCAAACAATCATGTTCCTGTATCTCATATGTTGAGTTCAGGTACCAGGTATCAACTTAACAGTTACCATCATTTTCATGTGAAAAAGATCAGAATTAGGATACCATATAGGAATGACAGAAACAAATGCAAGAAAAAGCTCTTCTCTATCATGATTTCAGCAGTGTCACAGTAGCAAACACTTTCTGCAAAAGAATCTTGAATATTTTCATAGTATCTCTCAATTACTACACAGACATTATCAACTTCAGAAGACCCTAACTTCAGTATTTCCCCATATCACATACCAGAAGAATAACTAAAATCCATACCAGTCAGTAGCAGCTATGAATTTTCTTAAGAATGCTTTCACCTTATTTTATCCACAATATTCCGTTTGCAAAATGTCCACTTCTAAAATCTTCCATTACCAAGTTAACTACTGCAATTTCATAGGATCATTAGCTGTAATACCAAGTCTAGCAGATTGTCTTTGAAAACATCACTCAAATCTGAGAATATAAAATGAAAGTAAATGCTAGAAAAATATGGTTGACTAATGTTTCTGAAAAAAAGATCTGATGCATTGAGAAAAGACTTATTTGGATAAAAATACACAAAGTTAGAGTGGGACAGAAAAAAAATCAAAAATAATAGATTTCTCAACTTAGAAAAAGCGTTATTTGAAATAGTATGAAAAGTGGTCTTCATTTATATTTCAGGTATAACCACTAGGAACACTTACTTTCAGTATCTGGAAGGTCAACAATTTCCTCAATCTCTAATAAAAATTTCTACAGTTTATTAAAATTGAGCAGACTAAGTTTTCAAACAACTTAGTGATTCAATTCTTTTCCCTGCACAATTTGGAAGATAAAAAGCTTCAGGCACTGCTTCTGTCACCAGCATCTTACCTCAGCTGCCTTGTCTTTTGGTGACTATGAAATGGTAGGTAGCATCATGTAATGTTTCGTTACTGTAACAGTATAAAGAGATTTAAAAAATAGACTGAAGTCTAATGCTTTGACTAAAATGATTTCCACATGAGATGTGCAACAAAGTATCCAGTTTGTCTTCTCTCTTCACAATAGCTTGGCCTTTTACATTGCTCATTTTTCTGTTTGTTTGGTAAGACACAAGAGTACGGGAAGTCTAACATCTACAGTTACGCAAGTACACAAAACCCGCACGTACAGCACTAGTAAATATCCAACTGCATACAAGATATATTGTAAAAGTAATGAAACCCTCTGATGTTCCACATCTATGCTGGCAAATACTTCTGATATAAAAGGCACTTTGAAAACCCAATATGGTTTGGTTCATTAAGTTTGCAAAGTACAAACAATTGTACAAACATAGAATTCTATTGACACATGTCAGCCATTGTGACATTATGTACAAAACAAGTTTCCAATTTTTCATAACACTGGTTTTATGGGAATGAGCAGTGGTTTCAGCAGCTTCACTGAAGACATGACAGGGTTTCCAGTACCACAATGTTAGTTTCCTATTGGAACAAAGGTAGTAAGTAAAAAAAACCCACAAAAACTTACAAGTTTAGGGGCCACAAAAAGACAGGAACCAAAGTCCATGACATTCATTCAATATTTACTCCTTAGAAGTGAACTCCATCAGTAGCCCAAAGGGAGAAGTCTTTTCAGTCAACTCTGGAACAGTGGTGGAGGCAACTGTCTTCAGAAGTATATACAGTACAGAAAACTTTGGTCCAACAGCACAATTTTAGGAATTGACTACATGGCTGCAACATCCATCTGTACATAAAGCTGTCTTACACCCGCCTGCAGAGAAGAAAAGGAGAGTTTAAAAGAAACTGAAAAACCAAAGCAATTCAACTGTCCCAAGCACCAGTTCACACAAGTACCTAAACAAGAGCTTAGTATCTTATTATTCTGTAAGGCATCTCCCATATTTGGTAAACCTGGCACTGAGTTACTAGCAATCTGCAAACCTACAAACTGTTAAAACTACTGTACGAATACATGTCCCTTCATACAGTAAAATAATGCAAAGACACTAAATGTATATCAACTTTAGCTTTGCCATGTTCCATTTTGATTGGTGATTCATCCTAAGTAGCAACTGTGTAACAAGAAACAAAACTAAACAATTGTGATTCTTATTTTCTTTTGTGCAAGCTTATCTGCCTCAAAAGTTACCCGCTCGAAGACCTGGCAGTTTAAAATGGAGCAAAGCATAAGAACATAACATGGGATTTGTGCTTTGAAGCTGTTCTACATTAAATTTTCAGCAAGAAGTAAGAACGGCTATAGCGAATTGACACATGACAAAACAACTTTTGGTAACCTAGGTGTGTAAACTGCATGAAAGCATTTCTCCCCTCAAAAGTTGTAGGAAATAAGGTTTAAATGGCCTTCCTTAGATTTATCACGAAAAGGAGACTATGCTTGTAGACCATTCATATCTAGTACCTGTGCTTGAGGAGCTAGCCAAAGTGATTTCTGTATTTTTTAGTTGGTAAATATAGAAAAAGGAAATGAGTGAATCTTGACATTCTGATCTTTAGGCAGCAATCAGCCTTATTAGAAATAAGATTTCTGTGCATCACAAGAATTCCAGCACACCATACCAGTTTCAAATGTTATCAAATATGTCCTTTTTTATATAAGAGACAATCAAGTTTTGCAGGAAATTAAAGGAGAGCACATTGGTCTTATAAAAGATGGTAATTGTTGTTTAACTGTTCAATATTGGCGACCACAGCATGGAGGCAACACAAAATAGACAGAGAACGTGGCTCCTTAGGGAACAGCAATGAATGACAAATGCAGCATCAGCACAATGAGTAACGGGACGCAGGGCCAGTCTGTGTCACCTGCAAGGAACCCTCAACTGTTTTCTTGGTTTCTCTCTAGGTGGTCAATAGGGCTTCACCTTCGTTTGGTAACAGCTGTAGCTGTCTGACGTGCATCCCCAGGAAGTTGCAAAAACGGACGCAGAAAGGTACAGCAATTCTACCTACACTACACAAGATTGCAGAAACGCAACTTCACAGCAGAAAAACTCTTCAATAGTTATACCAAAACCAGATTTGATCAGAATTATTTTACATCACAAGAAAGGTAATATACAGATTTTGACATGTGTGTGATTTCTTCTGATGAGACATACCTGAGTAAAGATGTTGTGAGTCTGGCTTAGAATCCACCTTGCATCAGCATCAGGAGCTACGAGTAGTTTCAGAGTCCCGATGTAAACATCTGTACAGAGGGTCCAGAAATGAGGATCATGTAAACTGTAAACTCCTTGCAACTGCTGCACCTAAAAGACAAGCAACTTTTCAAAAAAGGGTATTTCAGAAGAAACATTTGTATGTACTGTGTTGTTCTAGAACGTTTTATAGGCATTACTGGCAAAACACTGCAAAACATATTCAGAACACACAGCTGTGGCTCAATCAGTCAACAACTAGATCTTGAACAAAAAGGCCTGCATAAAAGAGCTCACCCTCTGATAGCACTGAGGCAGAGCGTTTTCCAGGGAGGGAGGTGTTCGCTGCATCAGAATCCCAATTGATTCTTTTAAAAGTGGAACAACACTAGAAAGAAATAAGGAAGTTAGTTACTATCGTATTTTCAAAACATGCAGAATAAGCAGTATCACAACATTCTCTCATGCTCCTGAAGAATTTTTCTTTAGTTGTTTCACTAGAAACTGATAAAATTACCGTGAAAACCTGCTACAGAAAATTAAGAGATGGACCAAATTGCTATGGTCTCTTACTAACGGCAAGAATACAGATTTCTGACAGAGGCCACCAGTGGGCAATCACAGATCACCAATGTAATTATGGGATTTGGGACAAAGTCTCTTAAGTGTCTTAAATTTTACGTCATAAAGCAGCTGGTGGGTAAAGTTCAGAAGCAAAACCTACTTCAATGGCAATTACAAACAACCATAAAAATATGCAAGTGAAACCATTTTTTTGCTTTTGTGTCTGGCTTAAGGCATACTTTTCATATGAACTAAGATAATAATGGGGAGATTATAAAACAAAATTAGTATGGATCAGTCCAGCTATAACAGAGTTATTTTGCCAGAAACAGACAGCTCAGCATATTCTTGAAGTGAACTAAGTGCAGGACCCCATCCAAGCTCAAGCATTAAACATCTGGAAGCAATTAGAGGTTTCCTCCTGTCTGCATGGTCTTGTTTAACCAGCAAACTGAAAAGAACTTACATTTTATTTTCCATTTTTGAAGACTTCATTAATAAAATTTGTTAATAATTTGCCCTTTACGGAATTTAATTCTAGGATGTTTAAATCAATGTGTTGAGTTTATATGAAAGTGCTAACTTAAGGGTGATGTCTAGCACAGATTTCCTGGGCATTTTCTGAAGCTTGAAGCAAGCTGCCCAGTGCTGAGGAACAGGGAGATTCAGATCAGTAATGCTGCCCTTCGGATGGTGTAAACATGCCATAAATGTTGTAAACACAGCGTGCCCACAAGTATTCAGAAGACAGTCACCACTGTGAAGCGACAGAAAGGCGCTCAGCTGCTAGCTTGTAATGCAAGGGGTGGCACTTTGTCCTCTACCACCAACAAGGCCATCCAGAAAAGCCTCAACCACCGCCTCGCTCAGTGTGATGTTTGCTCGTCTAATGGAATCCAAAGAGCTCCACATTTACAGTGAGCCTGGTAAGCAACATCAGCAAAAGTGCACAGCTACTTGCAGTATTTCCAACAGATCTTTAAAGGAATTGGGATAGCTCCATACATAAATGGAAATGAAGACACAATCCTCTCCCCGCAAATAAACAGAACGGCCCTGATCCATCAAGGCCAGCCAGCGGCTGTCGGCAGCAGGCTCGGGGCTGCTGTGCTGAGGGCATTCTGCTCCATTTACTAATGCAGCACGTCGCTTTATGTAAGCGTTTGCTACCTACAGAGAGGAAGCTTTCTATTGCCTGAACCTGCAAGATGTTTTTGTAGTATTATGCCAACAGGACCAAAATGCAGAAAGGGAAAAAGCAAGATGAGTCAAGTGAAAACACACCAAAACAGCTGTACAGAATAGAGAAAACATCACTCTGGAAGAAAAACATGTTGTGAAGCATAGTGTAACCACATTTTTTGAGGGGACAAACCTGTTGTTCGGAGCTGCTATTTGTTCTACTGTAATTATCATCAAAACATACTACCAAATATCAGTGGTAACAGTGCTTACCTTACACCTATAAGTAGCGCTATCAGCATTGAACAAATAGGATCTGCTATCATTAGACCATAGTTCTGCATGAGTATAGCAGATATGATTACACCGATACTTCCAAGCGTGTCTGCAACGATGTGTAGAAATACACCTGTGAAGAGATTAAGTATCAATGCAACTTGGCATTTGTAAAGTAAACGGAAATATTTCAAGGACAGTTTGATGAGAAGAGCTGCAAGAACTGCAGTATGATTTATGCTTGTTAAATTCTTGCTCAGCTTTTGGTCCAAAATACAGAAAGTGATCACAGGATTTCAATCCATCCTTAAAATATAAAACATTTAAGAATTTATATTATTTTCTACAACTAGCATTAAATGCTATTTCGTGGCATTGCTATCATCATAAGTAGCCATTAACAGACTAAATTAAAAATTTAATTCAGTATCTAGCCACATTACAGTAGAGAAAGTAATTTTGAAAAACAACACATTAGGTTACAAGACATGAAAAGAAGCATTTTGCAACTAGCCACGGTTTCGTTTTTGGAGGTCCCTGACAGTAGTGACAGAAATAGCCATTCAGAAGAAGCTTTCTGGATACGTTTTTTTCAAACTTAAATGATCCTGTGCAGTAATATAATTCACAACTATACACCAGTTCTTAACAGTTTTTTTTTCTAACAAGCCTATACTGAAAAGTTAAAATTACAGAAAATTGAGCCTTTCTGATACACCTTGGTTAAAATACGCCTTTCATTTGAAAGTCCTTCTTTTCATACCTATTATTAAAGTACTGTGTACATACACACTGAATATAGAGACTAAAAGTACTAGAAGAGGTTGAAAGTGCCCTCTTGCAAGGGCTACAAACAAGGGGCCAAGTATAACGCCTAATCCAAAAAGGGTCCCAACATGAGATCCAACAGCAGCATGAATATTTGGTTGTGTCAAACAGTTACTACTTCTTTCTTCCCCACTAACTTTTGAATATCTTAGGAAAGGAGTGGGTGGGAGGGAATAATCAAAGCTCAAAACTAAATCATCAGTAATTTATTTAAAGTACTGTTCAGGAGATCACAGCTTCCAATTATCCGTAGAGCGATTATACAGTGAATGATCATCTTGTCTAAACCACCTAGAATAGCTCCATGAAAGGAGCTTTAAGCTCACGTGTCCTTCAGTGATCATGTTGATCTGCATTTTTCAAGTATATTCTATAACAGGTTCTTACCTTCCAGAGCCTATGTTGTGATTAGATACCTTAAATTTCTGCTTTTAACCACTCTTTTCTACACTTCCACTACTTTATTTTTTCAATGTCAGCAACAAACGGAATCACAGCTTTTGGGATCTCCTTTTTAGACTGGGTTGACACAGCATTACATTGAGACTTGAGAGAACATGTCGACAGCTAGTCACGCACAGGGTATGACCCTGCTTTGCTTATAAGTAAAAGGGACTCCACAAACTATCCCTAGGAAGATGGCATTGCCTGGAAAACAGATGAGTAATGAAAACTATCTGCTCTTCCTATTGCCATACCTTGTAAAATCTGCTTGCTGGATCCAGCTGTCCCTTCAAGAGAATGGTCATCTGTTAAGACAATTATTGGCATATTAGGCTACACAAAGTGTCTCTAGTGATATATTTTATTACCTTTCCAAAATTTCTTTGACTGACAAGCTACTCACTATGATTAGCTTGCTGTGACAAGTAAAAACCCAAACTAGAGTTTTCAATTCAACGATTAGGTTAAAAGTCTCAAAACACAGGTCTTTAAAGAGAATACTGCATTATACAATGGTAAATGCACACACAGAGAGATATAGCAGATCAATAGTTCTCTAATAAACACAATTTAAGAAATAAAAAGCTTTTAAATATTTAGCAAAAGAAGGCAGCTCAAGACAATGAGCTGTATAAACAAGCATGGAGGAAGAATGAGGTCAAATGAGCTTCCTGCACAGAAATAACACACTTCATTCCGACATAATGTAAACTAACAGAGACGGGGCATAAAGACAGTAAAACTAGGTCAAAAAAATCCATTTATGCAAAGTGCACTCTTTTTTTTTTTTGAAATGCACAAAACAGATATGATGTCATTCCCGTGGAACAGAAGATAAAACAGTCAAGTTGGAGAAGGAGGCAGCAAGGAAGAGACAGGAGGGTCAGGGATGCTTCTGCTTCCCAGCTGCCTCCAGAAGGACACTTGGAAGACAAGCAGCAGTTTTCTGCTAAAAAAAAAACATGGAAGTGGCAAGCCACGGAAATATTTTTATACTCTTTGTCACCTCCTGTCTGCAAATCACCACTCTACTCCCTCTGAATGCAAACATTCTCTGTCATCTCAGATTTTGGTTTATGGCCTAGTCAGGAAGGATGGACAACTCGGCACTACAATAATTCTTTCTTTTTTACTTTTTCACAAGAGCAGCAAGCACACTGCCTCTTCTCCCAAGGGGAGGATTACCTGTCACATTTCATGGGCATGTCTCAGCACACAGGGTTTATAGTAAAGATTTAAGCTGAGCTATGAGAAAGGTACACTGTATCTTAACCAGCTTGCAAATAGACTACAGCTGGACACAACTAACACTGAACTTACTGCTCAGATCACAAGTGAAACAGCATCGACCAAAAGTCACCAGAAGACACTGTCATTGTGCACCTTATTTCTAGTGAAATTACTTCCAAACGTGCTCACTACAACAAGCTGCCAGTAGCTTCTCCTCTGTTCAGAAAAATCAGTAGCAGCAAATTTAAATGGAGCCAGGGTGGTCTATTCCATTAACCTGGTACTTACCATGACAATAATCCTGACTGTGAGAGTGGCCGTGGCCATGATCGTGAGCGTGGCCATGGCCATGTTTATGGTTGTGGCTGTGACCGTGACCTCCGTGGCTGTGTCCATGGCTGAGACCACCATTAAATAGAGAATGGCTGTGTTCATGCCCTATAAACAAGTATCACTGTCAGAATATGAATTCAAGCGTGAATAAAAGCATGCTTATAATTACTTAAGATACCTAAAACTTATTAATTCTTCAGGTCATCTTAAGGTATGACATACATAAATTTACTAGAAGAAAATGAAATGAATACCAACTGTTTAGAACCTCAATCTACGCAGGGCTGCTGTATAAAATATTTACCTGTTTAAGAAGTCAAATGCTTTTATACATTTCCTGCTTTTGAGGTAAGTTACATTGCCCTTAATACAACTGGAGCAAATGTGCAGACTCTGGAGATCTAAGTCTTCCAGATAGTGTGTGTTAACACAAATAAAGCAGTGATGAAGCAGGGATAGTAATAAAATTTGAAAACTAAGATTACTATAAGTCACATAAACATTTTGCTTAGTCCTCCCCTCAAAAGAAAAAACTATTGAGCTGCCACTGGAGGATAACAGGGTTCTGGAACACAGACCACTACAAGAGGAAACAGTACTGAAAATTACAGGCATCGTACCAGATCCGTGTGAATGCCCATGACCTCCGTGTTGGAAAACAAATATTCCTATAAGATTTACAACGAATCCTAATACAGAAACAGGAAGAAGTCTCTCATGATGCACATCTGGAGGCTCCAATGCTCTCTAATAAAAAAAAAAAAAAAAAAAAAAGCAAATGTAGAGTTTTACAAACCCATATTGTTAAAAGCCACTACAAAAAGGAAACAGGGTCACAAAACTGCTTAGATCCAGGAGGCACACATAAAGACATAATAAGGAATTACTCGGGCCCTCCAGTTTTGCAAAGGATTTTCACTATCTGGAGATTTTTTTTTTTTGACTTCGTTACAGTAAAATGATGCAATAGCATTACACCTATTTGACCATCATCAGCTTCATTATGCTGCGGAATATGGCTCAACACCATTGAAAGATGGTCAAGTTCATTCTAGTACATGGATTGCACAAGTCATCCAAGTATTTTGCACGAGTCTGGAAGGCCTTTTATTTTCGTCCTTTCTTCACGGGATCACAGAAGGGTTGAGGTTGAAAGGGGACTCTGCAGAACATCTTGTCCAACCCCCCTGGTTAAACAGGGTCACCTAGAGCACATGGCACAGGACAGTGTCCAAACTCCTCCTGAATGTCTCCAAGGAGGGAGACTCCATAACCTCTCCAGGCAACCTGTTCCGGTGCTCAGTCACCCTCACACCTTCTAAGAAGGGTGAGGAGACGAAGGTAACGAAAGCAAGCAACAGTTGCAGCAGTTCTTTAAACTCCTAAAATCTAGATTCAAAAACTTTGAAAGAAAGCAGAGTAAATGCCAGACACACTATGAACCCTATAGTTTCTACTGATTTTCAAAGTATTTACAGACTTATCTGTATGGAAGACACGTTCCTGAAAGCTCTTCTCTACTAGCTCAAAAATCAGAACTAACTTATTCTGAACCAGGAAAAAAAAATCTCCCATTAAAAAGTAAAGCAAGCCGATCAGAATTAGTTACCAACTTTACACTCTCTCAATCCTAACACATACTGGTGTAGACAAGCTCAATGTCTAAAGTTTAAATCTATAAATTATTATCTGAATCATCTTATAAAAAGCATTTTAAAAAGTGCTACGGCAAAAGGCAAAGTTGTTACTATTCTGCATTTATATCAAGACTTCAAAGTTTATGAATGATGTTCAAGTTACTTCAACTTCTTCACAGAGTATATTTCCATTTCTTATGGTTACACTTCTCTGAATGACTAGTTTTGTTTTTTTCTTTCTTGGCCTCATGTTTTTAACATAAGTAGTAAAAATACTTATATGAAATCCTGCACTGGCTGAAAAGGGGACAGGATAAGTGACAAAGTCTTTCTGTGCAATCGGTACACTCCTTAAGGGCTGGTACAGATACTCTGAAAAAGCTTTTTGTGTCTCATGTTAAACCACAATTTTAAATGGCCCTATTTTCTGTTCGGATCACAGATTTTTAACCAATTATGAATGTAAAACATTCCCTTGCAATAAGTTTATTCCCACTAGGTTCCCACTACGAGTAGAGATGTGACAATTAAGAAGTGCAGTGGAACTCATTAACATACCTCAACACCTTCAGAAAAAATAAAGAATGCTGTAAAGATGAGGAATAAACCATTTACAAAGCCAGCAAGTACTTCTGCTCGAACATACCTGCAAGAAGCAAAAATATCAGCTATTTAAATGCTAAAAATGGAAAGTGGAACTAAGAAACTGGGGCATTATTTCTACTTCTCAAGCATTTGCATTACACAAGAGATTTTTAAATGAAGATGTAGGCTATAAACAAGAGAAATGTATATTAAATAAACATCTAGAACTCTTGTGGTTCTGGTAGAACCTCAGCAACTCCTCAACCCACCAGTCTAGTGGGACAACTGTTAAAGTCCTCAGACCTGACTGCAAGTTCATGGAGCCTCTCCAGCCACTGCCTGACCTAGGTGAAAGAAAACTTCCAATACGTAAAAAATCTTCCCATTTAAGAACATCTCTACAGGAATTTATGATAAAAATTTATATTTGGAAGCCACAAAGTAAGATATGTGGGTGGCATGTAAACCTCTGCGTCCATTGATTTGAAGTTTTAAATATTAATAATAATATGTTCATTTGTTCCCCCTTTAGTACAAGGAATTTTTAATATTAGTAAAGGTTAAGTAAAAAGTATTTCGGCTATTAAGTGCTTCTAATGAAGGAGTCAGGTTAGAATAGGATGTAATGTCAGGGTAGCAGCTGTTCTCCAATACCTTGATTGCTAGCAGTTTAAAGAGTAGTTAAATAACACAGAGCCTGCCTTCATTGCAGCTAGTGCATGGTATAACCAGCTCATCCTAGATTAATTCCTAGGCACAGAGGAGTTTCCACCTTAATTAAACAGTGCATTAAGTCCCAAACCACGTGCTTAGGTGAGACAGTTGAGCTGAACGCAGACAGCGCAGGCGCGATGGGAGCGGGACCGCAGCAGCATCCCGAGGGCCGCCCACGCAGGACGGCGGCGGGACAGCCCGCGTGCCGGGGACAGCCCGAACGCTGCTCCCCTCACACGGGCATCGTTTGCCGTTTCACATGAAGCATCACGGAGATTTCGCTCCTTTCAGCCGTGGAACCATCTCTCCCAGGACAGCCCCTCTGCTCCGATTTCCCGGTGCCGTGAGCGCACCGGAGGGCAGGGCAGTGTTTGGCTCTGCAACTCGGTTTCCATTGGCACCACAGTGCTCTAAGAAGCAATACACCTCTTCCCCCAAAGCAATCCTTGTATGTTTTTACCATTTCTAGGAGGGATACTCACTAAAGGTTTCAATGTCACAACCTTTAAATAATTCATCTTAAAAAACAACAACAAAAAAAACCCACAACTTTCAATATTGTTTTTCATGTTCTGCAAAAAAAAGTTACTGTGCATTTAATGAGAAAGTACCACCACCTATACGCTTACTAAAATACAATGAGGTAACAGCCTGAAGTTCCTTACCCATATGAGAACGCATCATTTGACCTCCACTTTGAAATAACTGAAGCTGCTAATCCAGCCAAAAGAGCAGTGCAGTCAAAAAACATATGAAAAGAATCTGATATTAGACCTAAACTGGAAAAGAAGAGAAAAAAAAAATGTTATGCTCTAAAGCTACAAGTTAGGTACGGGGGGGAAAAAAGGCAAAACAAAACAAAACACAAAAAACATTTAATCTTTTACACACTAGCAGAGCAAACCCTGTCTCCAAGCTTCATCTTGGGACAGAGTTCTGCTGGCACCAAGGGAAAACCCTCGCTGCGTCACCAATGTAAGTGTGTTAATAAAATTGCTTTTGGCAGCTGAGGGAAAGGTGCTGAGCGCGCGGAGCTGCCGAGCGCCTTTCCTCGGGAGGAGGTTCCACCGACACCAACCGGAGCCGCCACAGGAGATGCGCCCGCGCCAGGAGCGACTGCTCCCTGCTCATCACCAGCACCCACAGGACGCTGCACAAGCCACATTCCTCCATTCCCCATCGCACAGCTCCCACGCAAGGCACACAGGATCACTGAAAAGCTTGAGAATTTGGGAAATTCTAACAAAGAAATAAACTCTTACTCAAGTTTCCTGGCTCAAATCAGAGAGCTTCTTAGAAACCAAACCCTACTTTTATTACAAACCATCTACAGAATTTTATCTAGTTCACCCAGCTACAGACATAAAGGTATTTTCATCTCTTACAGGAAATAATTATGATCTGAAGCTGTTTCCTACAGATTTGAGATCATCATCTATTATTTGATAATGATTTACTTGATTTGATCACCATCTATATATTATAAAGAAATGGTGAGTAAGACCGAATTTCCTTGATGCACTATTAGATTTAAGCTCACTTGCTCACAGCTCTCCAGGTTGCTTTCTGACAAGAAAAGAAACAAGACTGTGAAAAATAATGTTGCTGTGGACACACCCAAGGACTCCAAATATTAGGAAACTAAATATTACTCCTCAAAAACAGGGCAGCATCTCAGCAAAATCATTTGATGATAAGAGTTTCCAATATTCCAAAAATGGAGTTCATCAACACCTCTAGTGACCCAGGCAGTCAAAATCCTGACAGCTGCCAGAGAAAATATGTTGAGAAACATGCCAAGAGCATATGGGTGTTTTTCAGAATGGAAATTTCCTTATATATTGTGGCCAAACTTATCTTTCTAATATCAAGGTTTGAAAGCTTCAAAGTACATGAAAGACCTGGGATATCCTAGGAAAGCTTAGTCTAATATCTATTAGGAGACACAAAACTGTACACATAAATATTATTTAATTAGTATTAAATAGGTGCCAGTTTTAAAACACTCCAACTAAGGAGCCTCCGAGAATCTCAGCTTCCTTTGCTCTTGTGACAAAAATGTTTTAGTCCTTCCATTAGCTTTTCTGAGTAGCCACGGCAGGAATTTATAATCTAACATTAAAAACAAAACAAACACTGTTGAATAGATTTGTAAGTTTTCCTTATTTACACAGCTGTATGTTAATAGAGTGTGGTAAAGCTACACTAACTAAATCAGAGGATTTAGTTATAATATTCCTAATAGCACAGAGCCGCATCAAGGTTTTCTGTTTTTCGATCTGCGAGCCTCTTCCAGGAGGAAGGAAAAACAATTTGTCAAAGGGTTGAGCCTCCCAACCAGCTCCTGGAGTCTGCCCTTGGCCAGGCGGGCTGCGAGCGCTGCAGCAGCTGCGGCGCGGCACGGCACGGCGCGGCGCTGAGCTGCCGCGCGCAGCTGCGACAGCCGCCCCTGCGGCACGCTTAGGCGTGGGGGTCACTTGCTCCTTTGGCTGGCGATCACCGTATCTTCCCTGGTCAGCCTGGAAAAGGTCCATCCAGGAATAAAAACAAACAAGTACCTGTTCCGCCTGTGTTTCAACTAACTGGATCCAAGCCAATTGCAGTTCAAAACCATGCAGGGCTGTTAGAACGGTGCCGAGCTATGACTGGCAAACCTCAGCAGGGCTCGAGTCTTTGCTTTACCAGCAGCAAGCCATGGACTAGCAGACACACACGTCCCTTTAATCGAGAAGCTGAAGAAAGCAGAGGCTGAAAAAAACCCTTGTTAAGTGGTTTATTTCAATGGTCAATGCACAATCACATCTTGACTGATTGCTCATGAAAATACAGAAGTTTAGCAAGCTATTTTATCCTACAAAGCTCAAATCAACCTGGAAAGGAAGGAAAACCTAAGGCAATGGGAGATTTTCACTGGACGTCTATGAAAAAGTAGAACAGAATTCCCTACCAAATTCTTTAAGTACAGAGGTCGACAGTTTTCCTCCCCAAGAAGAACAAGTGATACCCCTAAAGAAACACCTCCTTTTAGGTTTGGGTCTGACTAGTAGGAAGTCTTTCTAAATCACAATCGAAAAGACTGCCACGATTCCTCCCTTGGCTTCCATGCTGGGGAAATTTCATCTTGCCTACGCTGTTGCTCAATGGCTCCAACAAGAACACCAGAATTGAAGATCACTTTCAACACACTCCCAGCAACTGCCGCACCAGATCTTGGCCATCCACAACACGGAAGCACTTCCTCTTTCCAGTACGTCCCAAGGCAACACAGAAAACCCCCTCGGCAGCCGTTTGGTCTCTGCATCTCTGATGCAAAGGGCCAAAGGGGCCGCGTTCCTTGAGCACGGGAAGGGGTTTTCCCTCCATGGTTGCTTGTTTGCTGGATACAGGTCTGTTCTTCACACGTATGAAGTGTCTGCTCCAACCGCAAGCAGGTCTCACATCCCGCTCTACCAAAGGTACAGCAGCAGTCATGCTGTCATACCAGCCCAAAACCAACACTTGCCAAAAGGATATCTGCAATTAATTACCTGAAATATAAGAGACCCAACTAATGATTATCCAACAAATACTAACTCTTAGTCTCCATAAGGAACAAAAATACACAAAGAGACTTCTCTGAATTCCAGTAATCCCCATTCGGCAGTACCGAACCTCCAGCACGTGTCACTTCAGCTTCTTGGTTATAGTTATACAGGGTTTCTTCAGAATAGACCCTATTTCTAGTGACAGCAGTCCCCAAATTATCATGCCCAAGAGAAAAACACAGCAAATTAACATTACCATATAGCTCTTTATACCCAAGCCCTCAAATGAAATCGTGCGTATTCCGAACCGGCGCGAGCGCCGCTTGCGCCTGGCGACACCGGCTGCAGACGCTCTCCAAGCTGCCCAAGCACCGGCAGCCAAGCAGCGCTCCAGCCTGAGCTGGGGGTTATCGCACAGCTTGAGGGCGAGATTTAGGACAACGCGACGAGCAGAGGACGCGACCACCCCTGACCCGCGCCACC